ATTTATTATATGTTCATATTACGTATTAATTGATTTGTTCTAAGCAAATTTGAACTTAAATCTTTAATTGTATTTAGCTAAGTGAATATTTTACAGTAAAATTAATAAATAAGTTTACTCGTAAGTGCTTTTTATGTATTTAAAAAACACAACAAACAATTCATTATTTTCTTAAAAATTCATTTTCAGCATGATCAATGATGAGCATGATATGACGTCATGATGTTTTTCTTCATCATGCCAGCTGTAAAATTAAATTGTCAAAGGAAGTCAAATTTTACCAAACAAAGAGCAAATATGTTTTCGATTATTTTGTCTACAGTAATTTAGCTTTATTTTATGACTACACATTTTGAGTAGCTGGACGTAGAATTTATCTGACCAACTCTTAAGGTAAAGCAAAACTAACCCTATTCTCCCCAAAAAAGTTTTTCAAAAAGTTACTTACAATTGTCTAGCTTCTAAACTCATTTTGATGTCATTATCCAGATAATAAGTATTTTCAAATTAAGCGTTGTTTATTTACAATAAAGACTTTTATAAAATCTATAGAAACAGGAATATACCGAGATACGACGTTAGAAAGAGACTCAAGCTTTCAGAAGTTCCGAATTACTCCAACTTCAGCTTTTACACAAGTTTCCAGTTAAACCCATATAATCTCCTCAATAAAAAGTTCGCAATCTTGGGTTTGACTGCAAGAAACATTTATCTGCAAGCTGCAGTGTTTATATGGTCAAGGCACGCCATTAACTGCATTGTTATTTCTACTGCAAAGTTATTCTTATTTACATCTACTCGTTCACAATTTTATTTAACGAAGGCACGTACACATGAACAGTATACACATTACAGTTCAAAAAGTTTAATTAAATTTGTAATTTAATTTAATTAAATTAATGCACAGCAGAGAAAATGAGTAAAGTTAGTCTGAATGAAAATAACTATATTTCAAACCACAGTTTTGGTTGGAAGATAATTAATTCACACCGACAACAATTTAACACAATAAACCCTCAACCAAAATGTTGGAAGAAAAATTGAAATTTAATTTAATGACATTGTTGACTTAATAATCATATAAAATACTGTGATTGTTTATTCTATGCCAAAACAACACTTTTTTGCGCTGCCCGTTGTGCAAAGCCAGATTATTCAATCTAATAGCGCCTTCAAAATGCAACCACAATCCGCTGCCCAGACATGCTTGACACACATGCGGCATACTGAAGGCGTTTTGTTAGTCTACTTTTGTAGGAAGGCAAGACTATTAAATCGTTTCACAAAATAATTCTAAATAGCAATAAAATGATGATTAATTGAGTGCTTGTACGAATGTTATAAGAGATTTTAGCCTAATCACTTTTATCGAAATAATACTGACAATTTTGAATGATTACATGAAGAAGCAAATTCATAAAATAGATAGTTAGGTACTATAGTTCGGCCGCTTAGAAAACGACCTGCACGCTAATGCTAAACCAATGCTGGAGGAGGTCGCTTTCTAAGCGGCCGAACTATAATCATATTATTTATACTTTTTCCAAACTATATTGTTATTTGAAGATCCGAATGTTTTATACAGAAATTACAGAGCGAGCAATAGTGCAGAACACTTTCAAACACGTTAAGACAAAAGTGGAAAAAAAAGTATTTTCTGTAATAAAACGTTTCGTTTTGGTAATTCACGATCGTAGACAAGTTTTGGGTACTAAAAAGTACGATTTTGTGTAATACTTGAAATAAAACAACTTTGACATCTTTTTACCAATCCTGTTTTTAGACACTTACGATTTTTCAAGAACAATTTTGTTTAAGGATTTCACAAATTTGATCTAAAACCTATATCTTTATGACGAACTTATTATTCCTCTATGCAATACTCAGTACAGTATGTTGATCAATGGATTCAGATACAATTCAGACGGAACTCTGTTTGTCTACAAATAACTCGAAATTAAATATGCATTATTATGCAGATCAATCTTGGTTTAGGCCAGCTATAATTTGATTGCATATTTCAACTGTATAAGACCAACTCCAATATATATTATAATTTATAAACATGTAAAAGATAATGTTGGTACATTTTTGAGAAAAAAAATAACCAAACAAGCAAATCTTACTACCAATATCAGAATCGGATTCATAAATAAAATTGCTAATAAAATATAGTTTCAATGCAATTGGAGTACAGTTTGATTTTGACAGAAACCTAAGTTTTAGTTCAATTAAAAATGTATTCTTAGTAAAAAAAGTTTTAACTAAATTCTTTAAATAAAAATATTTGTTAATCTGAATCCGACAAAGTTTAATGTTTGATATTCCTAAGGGTTAATGTTTTTCTTTGAAAATATAATGCAATTGTGAATTAAAATTATTACGTACTTAACACCCCTCATAAATTAAAATAATAACCCAGTAAATAACTATACTATAATTTTATTAATTCAAATTACAACTGATCATTTAGTAGTTTCTGTGTCGACAAAAAAATGGTAACGTAAAATTTCGTCTTTCAATTCAGGATAGTTTGCTATGTTCCCAGTGCGTCCCGTACTCGCTTGGCCGTTACAAGTCTGTATACTAAAACAAAAAATACACGTTTCGTCTAAAAAACTTTTAAATAGGAGTTAAACTACAATTTATTCACTAGTATAAGAGTAGTAAATACCTCAAGGGCATTTTTACTTTTAATTAAAAAGCTTGTTTGATTTTAAAACGTGAAACGAAATTTAATTTAGCAGCATTTCATTTTGACAACTAACTATGTAAACATTTGTAGTTCCTTCGAACCATGACGGCCCGCCGCAAGACATAGTTGCTTATCAAGTTGCGCACCAACTGTTGAAGGCTTCATATCTCATCGGCATTAGTGTATATTTTTACAGAGCGCGTGGAGAAAATTAATTTAACTATATTTATACATTATTATTTATTGAAATTTACAATAAATTATTCTAGTTAAAATAAGTCAAAATAGACTAAGGATATAAATTTATAAAGCTAAAACAGCTGCATGCAACAGTTGCTGTACCATGTTTTTATGTTTGAAAAAGTTAATCGGAATCTTTTAACTTATATAGTAAACTGTCCTACAACATGAATGTCAATCAATCTTTTAATTCGACGGACTGACAACTAATATTTAAAACTTTCAATATTTGAATTTGAAGCATCACAATGTATAAACTCTTTCAACAGTGACTAAAAGATTGTTTTTTAGTTAAGTTACAATGTAAACTGTTATGTATATTTACAACAACAAAACTATAATAAAGTATTAAAATTTATTGTTACAAAAAAGCTATACAATTTTGAGCTAGAGTTAGGCCTAGTGCATAAGGAGGTCAATTTAAAATATATACAACTTCCAAAAACTAGGTATCTTAATATTTTTGGGAGAAAGGAAAACTTCTCCGAATAATGATGACCCTAATTGGGTGTTGAGGGGGAATTGATAAAAACGAAATTACAAGATAATAATTCACTTAATGGTAATAATATTATTACAAGATAATAAGATTAATAAGTAGTTGGTGTTCTTATTACTACATACATAAACTTAATTCCTATTATCATCTCCACAATATCCCATAACATTTTCAAACAATGAGCAAACATAAACAAAAATACGGCAATTTCCGGGAGTAAATATTTTTTACGCATAAGCCTATACACAAATTCTATGCCACTGTGACGGATAAAAAAATAATAGTTGAAAAAATAATCTTTAAGATACCAAGCCCTTTTCAGTGTTAATCAACATGTACTGTATATAAAACCTGAGAAAAAAAAATTGTCAGCTACATGACATAGCTTATGAATGCACTTGCACTTTCACGCCAGGACATCATTAATTTGTCAACAATCAACTGAACTTCCACATTCTGTTGAGAACTTTCCAACGGAACTTCCTAACTTCCTGATGACCTCGCTGGATGTAAGGTGAAAGGTTAAGTGGCGCTATCAGCTTCTGCTGATGTAAGATGTGATAGTTAAGCTGTATAGTTATGTAAACTTTGTTTATAAGGGTTCTTCACTGGTAGATTTGACAATAAATTATTTTAGAAATGTGTCAAGTCGTATTTGTATCTACAAAAAGTGAACTTTCGTTACATTAATGTTAATAAAACGAAACTATTGCCAGATAAAATTAGAAACTAAAATTTTAACGAGAATGAATAAAATCGTGTACAATTAGAATCTTTTACTTCATCAATTGAGTAACATCCGATCCCGATGCAACATATCAGTACAAAATATATTAAGAGACTTCATCAATGTAACTAAAATATCCAACATAATGCTCATTATAAGTTGAAATTGTCTGGGTAGCCGAGTGGTTTAGGTGCTTACCTTCAAATCTAAAGGTCTTTGGTTCGATGCCAAACAAAACCATTAATAGTCCCAAATAATGTCATTTTATTGAGCTATCAATTAACTATGCTTTCTAACAACAGCTTGTTAGATAGTAACAAGACTATGGCTTGAACCGATTCTTTCAAAAAACGTAACAAATTATCCCTGGCATTGATGCAATAACAAAATTAGAGTTGCCGATGGTTTCAGCTTTTAATGCCAATAGAACAGTGATTAAGCTTTCATTAATTACATTAATTAACAGTTCTGTCTGCCAAGAGAGCTGTAATTAATAGTCCAAGCTAATTACAGTTCCGTAGTATTAATTTGTAACTACAGTATCTAGCCTTCTAGAACGTTTTAGAACACTTTTTTAACGTTTTTACGGCTGATGCGACCAACTTGGTAAAAATACAGTTTTCTTAAACTATTACATAATGTGAATCACGTAGCCTTATACAATTTAATTGTCTGTTAAAGTCTTAACATAATTATTTTCTTCATTAAGTGTTAAGTTCACCTTTTTATTTCTGTGGTGCTGTATACCTTTCCTACACAATCAGAAGCACGTATCTACGTCCTACACATGCAGAAATACACCAATGAATTCTATACTATATGGTTCTTGTTGAACTTACCTTTTTTCTTGAGCGGACTGGCCGAAGGCCTCAGCTTGGCTTGGCCTTGTTTTATTGATTCTAGGAGTTTTTCTCTTGGCGTTGCAGTCTGGTAAGCTTTTGGAGCCAGTTTTCTCTCTGACGCCTGCCAAGAAGATAGCAATTAGATCTGAATTAATTTACAAAATAAAAGTTAATTTGTTCTATAATCTAAGAACCACAGCTCCTAACCACAACTTCATAGCCAACTTCATCTTAACTATATTTTTAGAATATGATCTTAACTTTTGGTCTTTTAAAATTTAACGTGATGTCAGTAGAGTTGTCTAACAATTGTTGATTTTATCGCTGTGTTGTTTATATTTAATTTTAAATGTCACGAAAAATATTTCTCTACAATAGGAAATAAACTTTTAGTCATTAAGTTCATTGCTAATTATTTTTGTTTACTAGTTCAAATGCACAAATAAACTTCTATTGTTAAAATTATTTTTTTATTATATTATAATTTTTCTTCACTGTACTAACTTTAGTGAAACCCCACTTTGTTAAGTCCTTGAAATAATATGTTGGGTTATAAAATAAAAATTTCGTTTTGTGTAAATATATATATTTTATATAAGTATAAATATCCTTCTACTATATTTATATAGTAAAATAATATGAGTACATATAATTTACATGGGATAAAATGCATTAAACAAAAACATCTACACTGTAAGAAAAATAAAAATCCATGAAAAATTAAAGCTAACAATAGCAAGAATGACGTGGAAATTACCGCAACTAACATGGAAATATTTGAAAACCACAACACGAGTAGACAAATTATTCAACAATAAACAATTAAAACAATAAATGAGAAATTCAAAATTAGCATTAGAAACTAAAAACACGTTCCAAACTTGGTTATAAAAACGGTACGTTAGTTGTATAATTTTACGTTTTCGAAAGTCTTTTTACACAAAGAGGCCGTTAAAGTAGTGGCAAAACGTCCTCCTACTCTGCGACAAAGGACCAAGAGGATAATTTAGCTTAAAAAGCTTAGAAAGTGAGTGTCCACCCTCAAATTTACAACGGTTTTAACTGCGTTCCCGAATTAGTAGTGGGCCGTGGTTAAGCTATAAAACTAGTCCCAACTACTTTCTATTTTTCAAGAGCCGAATTTCTGCGGGCAACCGAGGAAATGCCGAGGAAACGTATTATTTATGTCGATAATACGATGGAACCTGTGATTTCTAAAAAACTAACGACCTGTTTATGGTTGTTGAGTTAGAAGGTGTGGTAGTGATTACGCTTAAGATTTTGATAATTATTACGTAATATTTCTTTTTTCGCTTACGGTATTGATACAAGAGAATTAATTTACTAACTATAACATATTGCATTTTAAGTTAGACTTTAAGCGAGACCATTGCACCTGGTCGAACTTAACCAACAAAAAAATATTAAATACTATAAAACGATTACAATAGCCAACAAGAATTAAAACAATAGTAAATATTTGACAATGATAGTGCAGAATTATGCATTTTAATGTTTACTCTGAATTCGGTGAATTTATTGTTAATTAGTAGATTTATTCACCTAATAACAGTCTCGTCATCTTTCTGCTGCATATGTCTCTCCTTCACCCTTATCCTCAATTTTATTATTTTGCCTTCTCGCTTACCTTAACGTCTTACTTCTATAATCCTTTCATCTACTTATCACCATTTTCTCACCCCTCGCCCTTTACAATTTTCCTTAAATATCTCGTAATTTCCCTTTACTTTACCTCGTACCCCATCCTATCTCTCTCCCTATGTCTCTCTTACTCGGCGATATCCTTTCCCTCTCAGTTCTTGTCCTTTAAACTTATACTTCTCACTGGCCTATCATCTTACCCCTGCCTGACCTATGTCTTACCCTTACCACATCCCTCTTCTATATCTCCTCAAATATCTTGTTTGGCCATTTTAAGTTGCCCTCCCTTGCAATAACCTTTCACCCCGACATTGAGACTTGCCCTTATCCATTTCTACTACTTTACCCACTTCCACTGTAAACTTTTCCTTCAACATTTCTTTGAGGTTATTTATCTTACCTAATGTCCTACTATCTTCTTTCAGACCTATTTTCCTCTTTACCTTGACCAATCTCACCTTTATAAAATAATTTAGTCTTAATTTTGAAAACTACCAATTTTGAAAACCAGCAATAGGAACACATTTCCGACCTTAGTTCCTATCTTCTCTTACCTTCACCCCGAAATTCCTTTGCTTATCATCTTACCTTTCTATATTTTTCACCCTTGTATCATTCTACACCTTCCTCTCCTTTACCTTATTTTTTAAATTTACATCTTCCTTTAACTCAATCTCTTACCCCGACCTATCATCTTTCCTCCACCCCCCCCCCCTCAACCAATCACCCGCCTTCTCCTCTTTACCCTTACATTCCTCAACCATCACACTCCCCATTTCCTCACCCCTTCCCATATCCTCCACTATCTCTCACCTTTCTCAGTGGTGGCCTGGACCTGATGAACTCCAGTATGACCGCATGTGCGTCCTTCTTCACCCTATGAGGAATCGTTCCGTCCACCATGACTTTGTTCAACTTGTACCTCCTACTGCGGATGTCGTCCATCAGTATCTCGTATGGCGTCAGTTCGTACTCTATGGGAGTTCTGCTGTAGCACACCTTCTTAAGTTGTACTCCATGCCTCAACTCGCGGATCACCTGGACCCAGAGGCGAGCCTGAAAATGAATAAAATGTGTTAAAATACTTCACAGCATTGATCTTCGTATATTCGCATCAAATATTAAACTCAAAGGCGTAAGATTCATCCATTTTTAAGAGAAACCAGACTGCTGTTTCGGGGATGAGCTGGTCTAGTGGTGCCGGTTCCGGAGGTATCGAGTTCAAATCCTGCCAATCACCAATGGATTTTATCACAGTGATAATGCCATGACCTCCTCTAGACATTGTCTGAACAATTGTAGGAAAAATGTGGGCTAGGAAAAAATAGAGAAAGAAGAAAAACATGGTGTAGCCTAGACGGGGTGCAGATGTGGTCCTTCCAATTAAATATAGCAGCCAATCTAAAACTATAAATTTTTATTATACTGTTTAAACAGGAAATAAGAGAACGAAGTTGCCGGAAATTTATTCTATACGTGTCAAAATTGCTGTTTGAAAGGGGTCATTGCCTACTAACTAACCACATGTTCGAAACTGACACCTGCTACGAAAAAATAATGACGTCACAGGTTAATGATATGTATGAATATTATCTCGTAAAATTATAATCAATAGCTACAACCATTATTTGTTAGTGTGTGTTCGGAGTGTCGATCCGTTCTTAAACCTTAATTTTAATGCCGACTGTTTATATAATAATTACAAGTAATTACTACCCAGTAATTGTAACCCAGTACTTTTGTATATGTAAAAAACAATCTACAGGCAACTTTAAACTTCCCTCGAAACAGTATAGGCTCCTACTACAATATTTTGTTTTCTTATGCTAAATTTGCAATAAAAACGGAGTTTAAAAATACTCTATTTTCACACTATCGCATGATTTGTTTGTACTACTATTTACTTCGATCTGAGAGGAACAATCTATATCGGCAAACCTCGGTCTTGAGTGGAATTGTAGCAAAGGATGTGTTGTGTATTCATTATATTATTGTACAGTGGAACCTCATTAACAAAACTCTCAATTATAAGTCAAATCTAGATAATAAGAGTCATTTTCTCCAAGTATTTATTTTACCCCTAAACACATGTTATTTTAGACTTCGATAAGAAGTCGACCTTGATTACAAGTCTTATTTAGTTCCCATGAGTCTTGTTATCAAGGTTCTACAGCTTGTCTCGAAGGTTGTATCAGTGCATTCGGAACTCGCCGGGTGGGCATTAATTGCGCCAGGTAGTCGGGTATTCCTGAATTGCGCCAACTACTCCATGGAGCCACCCAATACTTTCAGTTCATTAACTGCACCAAGTGGCGGCCTTCGATGACCGTATTATTGAATAGGTTATAGGTTTGGTTAGGTTATGTTAGGTTAGTATGACATACTAGGGTTGCTTTCAGAGAGGTGAAAGCCAGTTGAGCGGAACAAACGTGATTTGATATTTGTATAAGTAACTAAATGTAAAAAAAGTCAATAGATGTATTATGTTAGTTTTGCTATGGTCAAAGATCCAAATCCTAATGTTCTTTTCATTTGGTTTTTATGTAGTAATTTGCTAGAATCTTAACTTTATATAAAGTCAATGCTAGAATACAGTATATGGTTTATACTTGATTAAGATCATATACAAAGTTAAGACCATATGCAAACATTTTTGAAATCTTTTCCCCGTTTAACCAACTATTCCAAAAGATAAAAATTATATGGTGCAACACAAATAAACAACTTGATCACCTACCTACCTCCCTAATCTAACCTTACTTCAAAACACTTAATGTAGTCACGAATACTCATAAACCCCGACCTACCTCCACACATGTCTAAATTAGATCAGTGTTCAATCTGCGTTTTATGAATAAGTGTAATAACTTACTGCACCGTCGATCATAATATAACCTGTGATGTATTATCGGATTGTTAAATATCGATTTCGATGCGGTTCGATATATCACTTAATAAATCCTGATTTCAACATTGGCTGTTTCTAATCAGCTGGCAACACAAATAGGTTCCCAAGAAAGTAGTCACTGGTCCGTATCCCTCCGCTCCTTGTTTATACTCCGCGCATTGAGAAAGTAGTTCCGTATATTTTCTCGATTTTCAGTGAATTCCACGCCTTAAACAAATGTTTTAACGGCATTTTCTTGTTTATTAAAATCATAGGAATGGTTTAAAAACGTTTAAAAGAAAAGTCTAAAAAGTTCAGAAATACCTTATGATTCTCTTGTTTACATTTTTCTTGTAAACAAAAAACTGTCATATGGCTACTTTAGTCCCATAAGCCTAATGTTAAAATTTGGAAATTTTAAGTTCGTTTTAAATTGCATTAGCATTATCTAATTGAAATTTGTTTGTTTATTAACCATCTCACTATTAGTCTAAGTAATCTTGTTAAGTTTAGCTGAAATGTGTTCTGCCGTTATTGAGTGATGTTGCTTTATTTGTTGCATTGAAGTTGATCCCAAAGAGCTACGCTCGCTTCGCTCGCTCCGCTCAATAAACAAGAACCTTCTGCTGGCAATTCACACTACCTGGCTTGGTCTTGGCGCAACTAAGGAACAATTTTGGGACCCTTTAAGGGCTTGGCGCAATTGAGGAACTCTTTGGCGCAAGTAATGCACAACTATAATCGCCATTTAACAAGACTCGCACATCTTCCCGAAGACAGGAAATCCACAGTCCACCTTGATTGTAAAAGTTAACCTTCTATTTCATCTTTGAAGTGCTCACATGCTTAAAAAAATAACTTCCTGACTCCTGATATTTATAGAGAAATACATTTTTAACTAAAAAGAGGATTTTGCCACGCCAAAACTCCTTGTGTCGATTGTAGGACAGAAGACAGCAGTTACAATAAACTAGGCCAGGGCAGATCTCCAGATAGCAGAGAAGCACGCAGCACGACTGGACTTGCATTTGCATGTGGGTCGTCCACAGCACAGCATACCTCCATATGGCGACAGCGTGGAGCTAATATACCATAGTACATCTCCAATACAAGGTTGTAGTAGCCTGAGTCTTATTATTGTTTGTGAACCAACAACTGTGGGCTCCGAACCACTTACGGAATCACCACATGGGAAGGTTATACCCATGTGTGCTGATTGGTAAATGGAGATCAAGCTGAACACAGTACAATGCAAGTGGAAAAAATCGGGCAGGTTTCAATCTACAACATTATCTACAGTAGGCATTCATCTTGTTCTAAAAACTATGGCAATTTTCGAAAACTAATAGGCCTATTAACTAAAATGTTATGTAATGGGAATCAAGAGGATTTCCAGCTCTTAATTATCCAAGACCAAAAATATTGTATCTAAATATTAAGGATTTCCTAAACAGCGACTAAACGAGAGAATATGTCTAGACAAACTGATTGCCGAGGAACACGGAGAATTACATTCCGAAAACCCAATCTCAAATCACGGGTCAACGTTTATCAAAACGTAATCAGGCGGAGCGAAGCGTGTGAACGGAACACGAAAATACCGGGTTAAGTGTTGATTACCAGCAAACAGGCATCACACACAACCGTGGGTATACGGGTATATAACTCACACACACGCACGCACACAATCACCTATCACATCACACCTTCTGACATTGTTGAAGACATCAGTTCCAGGATATAGGCATACACTGAAGCCATACCTCTTATTGTATAACGTTGGTAAGGCAGTTGCAAATATTTTTTAATGAGGGAGGTTACCAAAAGTACAATGTAAAATAGTCACAAAATAATTAGATTTCACATCAACGATTTTAATTACTTCTTTCAAATAGTGATTTAATACAAGATTGTTAGCATATTGATGTTTTCAGAGGACGCTACAATTTTGTGCAACTTCAAATTAGTAATTTCTGTTTTTACACAGCGTTGGGGTGAGGAGCTCATAGCAATGCTGTAAGTTGAGGTATATCCAGCGAGCACATGCAATTTCTGAGTATATCACCGTAGCCTATTGGCATTGGGACGATAATATACCACAAATATATCGCTATGACAGACGTATTTATTTACGTAATATTACAGACAATGGAATGATTATTTATTCCCTTGTCTGTGGTCCATTATCAGGTTTTCTAATGGGCTATTTTGAACATTCACATGCACGACAGATACTGCAATACTCTCATTTAGTATTGCCATTTAGGACCATATTTTGAAAACTACTGGTATACAGTAGTACAGTACACAAACCATTTTGACCCTTGAAGCATTTAACTTAGTAGTAAACGTTAGCGATTCAGGTCGTTTCTTGATAATTGTTTTCGAACTTATCTTTTTCAGCTCCACGAATTTCTTGAATAGTAGATTACGCAACGAGTACGTTAACACTATTTACGCGAGTTACGTACACTACTTTACCTACGACAGTGTTTTAATTACTAAAATCACTACTCATAAAACTTCTAAGTGGGGTTATGTTTTCGTTTATAACCTCTCATTTCCACTGACAGTGTTGCAACGAAACATTGTACCAAAAATTGCACCACCCAACAATTAAATTGGCCTGAACAGCTGATTAGTTGAAGTTTGAATCATTACAATTTTACTTCTTCTCTCTCAATCCTTGAACCTCACTGGTCATTTACCCGTGTTGTTATGAGTAAAATTATGCTGTTATGAAAGTACAAATGCTTTTATGAGAAACTTTTCAATTCTAAGATCTGTACTGAAACGGCTACTTTATACAACGGTCGTAGGTAAAGTTTTTTAAATGACCAATGAGGTTCAAGGATTGAGAGAGAAGAAGTAAAATTGTATAATTACGTAAACCACACATAAAGTGATTGCTGTTACCAATTATACTTTTTCACCCATTTTGTCTTTCTCAGCCTGCCTACCTCCATCGAAACTCCTCCCATAATATTAAATATACTACAACAGTTATAGTTAGCTAACAACCCCTCCCATATTTTTTAATATATAACAGTTACAGTTAGCTAACACCACTTAAGTTTACTATTTACAACTGCAATCGTAAGAAAACTTGACACAAACGTTGAAGGAAAGCAACAACACTTGCACTGGTGACACAATGGGGTCAGACCACTACAAGCACCACACATTTACTCTCGCTTTCTTCTGGCTGCGAGTCAACTTGTTAAGCTACATGGCAGCTTGTGGATGTAGATTGCAGGCTACATGATAAAGAAACTCAGTCAGAGGAAGTCTACCATTGTGTTTGGTTTGAATTAACGTCTACAAAATTATGTTTATACAATAAGCGTGATCATGTGTGATAGAAATATGACTATCTGCTGGGAAATAAAAGGATTTAATGGTGATCTTCTGTGTATAGTTTAAAACTTTGAACCTAGGAATATTCTTATTATTTGGGAGTGTCATATTGCGAGGGGTATAGAAACTACAATTTACTCAGGTACATTTGTAGAATTAGATTATAAACCTATTTAATAGTACTTTGCAATGCTGTGTGTCTGATGGAATACAACAACAAAAACAACACTCTTTTAAAAAATAATATAAAACCCCAAAGTACATATTCACTTGCATACTAAAAAGACAGTTCTTTATTGTATGCCGTACGATAGATAGTACTGTATAGCTATTTTCAAAGTTATACAATAGTCTACGATCACATGACTATCTATAGTGATGAGGTTGTAAGAATATTTACATCTACGTTTAGAAAAAATGTAAGATTTTTTCATACAGAGATAACTTAATAGTTTTCGCACATCACTTTAGCACCAAAGACCAGTTAATATTTTTCGAGTCCACTTCCCTCAAGACACAACTCAATAAAACTGTTTCATTATACACATTCTAATTTACTAAATTGCTGGATTTCAACCTCTAACTCACACAATTTCACTACTCTAAGGAGTTATTTTATGTTTGAGGATAAACGATTCGATTGATTAGTTGTGAGAACAGAAGCCATAGAAGAGTTAGGGAGGGTCTCAAAGAAGGGTTGGTGTTCAGTCTGTACTTGTACTAAGGAAGCCCTGAGCTTCACGTGAATTCAGGGTGTATTTACATAAAACTACGTCTGAAATCCCTGAATGAATGTAGTGAAAGCCATAACAATTTTGTATTAGTAAAAAATGCTTTCATGCCATCAATATGATACTAAATGAAGTGTAAAATAATAGTACTTCTAAAAAGAGGAATCCTTCTAATAAAAAAGTTAGAACATTTTGTAAGATACTTAAGTTGGATTCAACTTGGAAAATTTCCCTGGGGAAATCTTCAACATGATCATTAAGAAAGTGTCACGAAGCAGAAACATTGTTTTAGCCTTTTTGTTCTCCAATACTAAAGAATTTGTATATTTATTCAAATCTGAAGTTTGAAGTTGAAAACCTGCGAGGAAAATTTACCTAGGAGCTTAGGAGCTTTCACATAAAACAATGGTTTTTGGAGGGCATTTGTGACATATTGTTTTTATATTTTTGATCCTCAAAATGTTTAAAGCTTTGTGGACCCAAAGTTTTAACTTTGCTTGAAACCTTAAACGTAAAAGTTCCTGGATGATTTTGGAATCATTAACATGAATTCGTGTCTTTTGGTAGTCAAAGAGACAGTAATTTCAAAAGTGTAGCTAGAGGATTAAAAAAATCTATCAATGGAGAACTACCTGTAGGTTTTGGAAATCATTAGCACATACTCATGTCTTTTGGATAACTACGTTACTATCATATACATTGTACTAAAATGTAGCTGGAGGATTTTGAATATTTATCAAGGAAGAACTATCGGCAATGAAAACATTAACACATAAAATCTTTTGGATGACGAAAAGGGCTTCTTTCGAGGGAGAATTGCTTGGAGGAAAGCAATTAACTTATAAACTGTCCTTCCGAATACACAAAGTACTGAGGAAAGCAATTAACTTATAAACTGTCCTTCCGAATACACAAAGTACTGACGAACTACAGAGTACCATGCACTAAGACTACACAACTACAGCAGACAGTAAGCGTGCGATACCTACTTGCAACGTTCTCCATATCCGGAGGTTAGGCTAGGGGCAAATGTGAACATTAGCAATACATCAGTTGCACATGATCTTTACTCTCACCTAACTAACATCTATTACGGATTGGACATGGTACACTCACACACACACCAATGTTTGTACACGACTCACACACGCACAGGACTCACATGTACCACAGAAGGAGAACGTGATCCACAGTCAAATCCGGTTTAATCCTTATACAATGTAGAACGTTTAAAATCATTAGGCCTAATGTAGTACAGTTTTTAATACTGTTTTGTTGAACCATAAACTATTGGATACTCAAGTAGACACCCTATCTATATGGACCAGCTGTCAAATTTTTTTTAAGAAAATAGTTATATGAGCGAGTCCAGAATGCGTTAGGGTCTAAAATTATATTTTATACCTTATTTTCTGTTGCTGATTAAGTTGATGAACAGCTTCTATAGCTCACAATAAGTCAACCCATTATATAGTTTATAGTTTGACTTAGCAAAGAGTTGTATTTGATAGAAATAAGTGATTTAGATCAGCACAATCTGTCGGTGCTCACATCAACTACGACAATTTTGATGGGGAAAAACTGTTGACAACTTTAACATGGGGATGGAATAGGTTTAACTTTGATAATTTATACAACTGAACAAATAGTCTACAAAAATCTGAAAAAAATTTTGTAGGTTCAATCAATAAAAACATCAAAAGTAATGATATATCAAATTTTAGGTGTTTTTGTATACAAGAGGAAAGACAATATCTGGCGTAAGCAATATAAAGTAGTTTCAATTTTTCAATTTTGTTTCCAATAAGGGGTGATATCAATTTATTCGATTTTGTTTACTATTGACAGATATTATTGATTAAATCCTACGGTTTATCCAAAATTTAGTTATAAATTTTAGAATACCAATGTTTTTATTCATCACCTTACTACGATACTTATAATGGGAAAAGTATATACAGAAAAAGTAAAAAGATGAAAAATATTCAAGTTAAACATTCAACCTCATAAAACTTTAACAGAGCAATTATAAATTGGAAAAGCAAATTAATTAGAGTAATTTGTACCTTTATACAGAATATTTCCTGTAACACAACATAAAACCAGGCAAAATTATGAACCTAAAAACAAATGTATGGAAGTTGTTTGGAAAACTTCTAAACTTTAAAAGTTTAAACTTCATAAATATTTCTTATAACATAATGTACACCATAATGAGTTTGCCATTAGACTTACATTAGCTGAGAACAAAGAAGGGTAACTGGGTAACATCATTACACAAACTATGGTAAGTGGTTAAGAGTTTTAAAGGGATGTTAGGGGGAGGGGGCGGGGGGAGAACCTCTCAAAACACACTGGTAATATTATCAAAGGATCTTGCACCTGTTCACAGCATACAGTATTACACCTTTATGCTAACAATCGAGTAGGTTAGAACAGGCAAACCTATGTGAGGAAAGTGTTTACTTAAATACTTTGTTCGTACATCAAAAAGTTTTTTTATTGAATGACTTATTAAGTGGAACCTCGTTAAGAAGACCCTCGATAACAAGTCAACCTTGAAAACGAGTGTCATTTTAAAATCCCCTAGAACTTATTCTACCCCTAATCACGTGTTATTGCTAACCTTGGTAAGAAGTTAACCTTGATAACAAGTCTTATTCAATAATCCCCAATAGTTTTGTTATAAATGTTCTACTGCACTAAATGACTTCATAAGTATTAATAACACTATTGATTGGTTAAGTTAAGCTGAAATAAACAAAACTGAATACAGTAATACAAACAAATATTCACACCTAATTTCAATAAGGTAATAAATTGAAAGAATAACAAACAAATAAGTACAGCTGAGGTATTTTTAACATTAGGTATGTGGAAAGTTCTCTTTAGGAAAGAATTACGACCTTAAAGGGCAATTTATGAAATAATGGATAGTTTTGCGCAAGATTTCTCGTCATGACGAACGTTTTAAGTATATGGTTTAGGGGGGTGTGACTTGTAGTTTTCTCAAAAGTTCATGGGTACTTTGGGATTTATATATGGTAACTGAGCCTCAAACTTAGGTTGTACTGAATAAGTTTTATGTACTATTTGCCATTTGCAACAGGCACATCTATAAAACGTAGAATATGAACAAAGAAGAAAATGGACAAAGAAGAAATGTACAAATGCAATCGAAACTAAACGATTATCAGCTTATTTCCAACAAGTGTTGCCATTTTTAAGGAGCTATTAAAAATGTTTTTAAATATAGTTTTTATTATCTTAGATCAACCAACACGAGTTCAAAACTACACGCGTAAATAATTACACCCTTTCGACATATAAATACTTTTTGAAACCGAATCGATTCGGCCATTACAGTAAATGAGAAGGTAAAGCTTGATTCGTGATAAACAGCGGGTCAAGTAGAACAAACAAAAGGGATCATAATTCGGATATCGTGCCAGAGTTGTGCAACGATAGACACCCCTTCTAGACATCGTGTTAGCATTGCTCTACAAACTAATCACATTGATTGGCCTTCAGTTTATACGTTGCTTGAACACTTAACTCTAAAATGTAGCAGGACTTTATGATTGATTTAATATTTTTGGATCAAATATTAGTAAAACATGTAAAAAACAGCAGTTAACCAAACCAAACCTAGTAGACTTCTCATCCCATTGTACATTTTGAAGCTCGTTTTTTGTGTCTATTTTATGTCCGGTGACACTTATCGCTAGTGTCGACGAAATTTAGTTTCTATTATTTTATGGTTAATTTAATAATTTGTGCTATACTGTTTGGTTCAATTACAAAGGAACGAGTTATTGTTTTGGATTAGATCGTTTTATTTGGTTAAACGTGGTTTTAAATTACTGTATACAACAAATTGTAAACAAAACATGACCTCTGCATTGAACGGGACAGAACTAACAATAAAATTGATTTCAACTGTTCCATAAAAGGATGAGAAATACTAAGGGGATCTATGCTATTACCACTGATTCAAAATTCTTCGCACATTTCTTACATTTTTGGAAAATCCATTATTTATATTTGTGTTTTAACACGTGTGGCCATTTTTAGGGAACGGTCTAAATCCTGGTTTTGTTTTCTGTCTATAGTCTGTATGGTGTAACCTGTCTTCCTCCCCTGACTCTGCGATGGCCCGGGCCTGGAGTCAGGTTCGATTACACAGACTATAATGTCGACCTCATGTCGGTTTGGAATTGTACCAGCGATCCTCAGATTCAAAGGTGATCACTTAAACTACAATCACCTATTCTAACATAGTTTCGTTGAGTGTGAAGAGCGTTTTTTTGATTAATATTTCGTTTTATCTGACCCATTCTAACAGTATCCCAATTAAGTAGACCTACTGTTTAATTTTGAATAAAAAATGCTTGCCCTCCAACATTATAAAGTAACAATTCGTAAAATATGGCCTAAAATAGAATAGAAACTTATAATTTAAGTATCCGAAAAGTTACGGTGATCGAGTTCAAATCTGGTCGCTGGAAAATAAATTCACATCAGCGCACTTAAAACGTTGCTAACTTGAAAAAAATAAAAAAAATATGCTTGTTAAAAGGTGTACTCTCACTACTCAAGGTACATAAATTACACTTGTTTAGGTACAAAATCAAAAAGTAAAAGCAAATGTACAAAACTACCAAATAAAACAAATTTTCTAACTAACCCTACACAATACACAATATAAATCAAGGTATTAACAGCGTCAAAGTACCATTAGGTATACCAAAGTCTAGTCGCTAGGTATTATTGCTAGGTATTTCTTGCGTAACTTTTATCCAGGATCAATAAACACGTAGGCCTGATTGCGCTTTCCCCACAAGGACATCGATGGATACCATCAGTGTGGGCGAAACACCACGACTAGCCTTACCTTTAGTGCTATCTGATAATTGTAATAAAACGTCAAGTAACAGTTAACAAGCCAACGTAATTTAGAATTAATGCTCTTTGACCCCGGTAATTTACATTCAATAGGGAAATATTAGTAAAAGTATAAATAAAGTTTATGAATTAACATTTTGAAGGTGTATTTATAAATTTTTGCTTGCAATATAAAATAAACGGTATCATTAATCTGACACATACTTTCTGAAATTAGCTTGTCAAAAACCTTTATCATGGGTAAGCTATGAGAGTAACTATGATATTCATTGGTAAAATCACAAAAGTTGCGTTAACTTTTGAACTAGAACTTTTACAGGGGGGTTGCACAGTTTTGAGGGCCATAGCAGACTTAATTAAAGTTAGTTAGTTAGTTAGTTAAATTTTTATCAGAACTGGGGTTTCTTTTCGAAAAATCAATTTTTCGTTTTTTCACTTGTTTTTATGGGAAAATAACATAAGTTACAATAAATTTTGAAGCGTAATTTTTATAGCTATGGGAGGTTAATAATTTTCTCTTATCTTTTACAGTCAATTTAAATATTTAGAAGCTCAAAGTTGAAATTTTGAGTTAACATTTTGATAAAATATCAATTATTCACATTTATGGTCTAGCAATTCCCATTTGGCCACTTTAGAACACGTTAAATAGTATTAGGTCATTAGAAAATTCGTTTCAAACAATTAAGAGACCATTTTACGTCTCCAATAACTTTTCAATATATTTATCCCCGAACGTTGCTTAGTGCCACGACGTATTTTATGATTATTTGAGAAAATAAATTTCGAAAATCAATTTGAACTAGGAACACCAATCAGAATGATTTGTGTTAAATGGCTTTTGGTCTTGTCGCTTCAGCGAGCCCGAGGTAAACGTGGGTTTGTGAAGAGGCCGATCGTAAATCGACAAACAAATTATTTTAACAATATAGATAATTTGCACATACTTAGTTTGAAACCCACAGCGACCCCAATTATCACCAATGTATCGTAATCAAATCAGCTATCTTAATCACTAAACCAAAAGAAACTGTTCCAATCCAACACGAATTTTCCCACCAAACATGACTTGACTGCTTGACCCGTACAGAACCGTTGGCCATTACCCACAGAG